GGGAGCCATTTATGGAGCAGATTCCCTAAAGAGATGGTCTCACACACTGAGGGAAGGAGGCAGATGAGGGGAACAGCAGCGTGGAAGCCCAAAGGCCCAAAGGCCAGACATTTGTGTCTCCTTCACATTTGTCTGCTTACTGCAAGAGCAATTTTTTTTTTAAGATTTTGTTTATTTATTTGAAAGGAGAGACAGACAGAGAATACCAGTGGGGTAGGGGGAGGAACAGAGAGGGAGAAGCAGACTTCCCACTGAGCAGGGAGCCCGACACTGGGACTCTATCCCAGGACCCCGAGATCATGACCTGAAGTGAAGGCAGATGTCAAACCCACTGAGCCACCCAGGTGCCCCTGCTTTGCCCTCTGCCTCCTGGGGCCCCTGACCTGACAGGAAGAGGCATACACCTTCTAGAGGGTCAAAGAAGGTTCAGTTCAGGGCCCTATTGGGACTAGAATCCTCAGCTTTGAATCGACAGCAGTAAGGCCCCGTGGTGGAGAAGCTGGGTGGGAATCCCAGCCCCAGCATCGTGTGGACTTCAGGCCTGTGGCCTCTGAGCCTTGTTTTTCTTATCTCTGAACAGATAAGTGATATTACTTCTTGACCTCCTGGGTTTGAAGTGAAGCCCAGATACATCATGCCTAAAAATTATTTAACATAGAGTACCTTCTTTAGTTTTTTTTTAAAAGATTTTATTTAATTACTCATGAGAGACAGAGAGAGGCAGAGACATAGGCAGAGGGAGGAGAAGCAGGCTCCATGCAAGGAGCCCGATGCAGGACTCGATCCGGGGACTCCAAGATCAAGCCCTGAGCTAAAGGCAGATGCTCAACCACTGAGCCACTCAGGCATCCCAGTTTTTCTTTTTCTTTTCTTTTCTTTTCTTTTTTTTTTTTTTTTTTTTTGGTAGTATGTGTGTAAAAACAGATCTCCAGGAAATTTGAAGAAATTAAAGGTTTATGAATATCCATAAATCCTTCATCTAGAATCAATTAACAATTTGCCCTGTTTGCTTTATCATTTATGCATACATCCAATGTTTATATGTGAATACATGTGTAGTATATATATTTTTATAGTGTGTGTATATTTATTTATTTATTTCAACGTCCCCTTCCCGCAAAATCATGATCTGACCAAGGATCATGTGTTTAGTTGCCATGTCACCTTGAATCTAGAACAATCTTCCATCTCATTTTTTTTTAATTTTTTTTTAATTTTTATTTATTTACAATAGTCACAGAGAGACAGAAAGAGAGGCAGAGACACAGGCAGATGGAGAAGCAGGCTCCATGCACCGGGAGCCCGACGTGGGATTCGATCCTGGGTCTCCAGGATCGCGCCCTGGGCCAAAGGCAGGCGCTAAACCGCTGCGCCACCCAGGGATCCCGTTCCATCTCATTTTTAAAAAATATGTCTCATAGGGGAGCCTGGGTGGCTCAGTCAGTTAAGTGTCTGCCTTCAGCTCCAGTCATGGTCTTGGGGTCCTGGGACTGAGCCCCACCTAGGGCTCCCTGCTCAGCAGGAAGTCTGCTTCTCCCTCTCGCTCTGCTGCTCCCCTTGCTTGTGCTCTCTCTCTGTGTCAAATGAATAAATAAAATCTTTTTAAAAATAATAAAATAGGGACACCCGCACCAGTAGGCTCCAAACGATTCTAAGTTAAGTTGGTCACAGTCAGAGATTTTTAATTATCATAATGAAGCCAACAGATGCCCTCCTACTGGCCAACTTATGCCTCCAGACGGAAGGACCTAGAGAAAATCTAGCCTTTGCTACTGGGAAGTCACCCTTTGCAACCCTGGGAAGTGACTCTTCCAGATTCAGTTTGCCCATCTGTAAAATTGAATTAATAATAGTTCCTAGCCTATTCCCTGCTTTATTTCTCTCCCTGTAACATACTGTCTATTTCACTCTCTTTATCTGTTGCCTTTTCCCAGCTAATGTCTACATGCAAAGGGCAGGGATTCTTGTTCATTTGGTTCCTTGCTGGGTGCCCAGCCCCTGACACATAACAGCTGTCAATAAGGATTTGTCAAACGGATCAAATAAGGGGTATAGACTGGAGTCCTGCACATGGAAAGAGTTTCATACATCATGGACTTTTTTTTTTTTTAAGATTGATTTTATTCATGAGAGAGACAGAGAGAGAGGCACAGACACAGGTAGAGGGAGAAGCAGGCTCCTCGCAGGGAGCCCGATGGGGGACTTGATCCCAGATTCCGGGATCACACCTTGAGCTGAAGGCAGACGCTCAACCCCTAAGCCACTCAGGTGTCCCATGTTGTGGACTCTTATGCCCTCTGGGCTGGGCACATTGTAAGCACCCTGGAGCGACCACGTGTTGTGGGAAGGGGAAAGGACCTCAGCTTCACCCAGTGTCTTTACACTTTCAGGAGACCAGCCGCTGACTGGGGCCTACACAGTAACCCTGGATGGACGCGGGCCCTCCAGGGTCATCTCCAAACATGACCTGGGCCACTTCATGCTGAGCTGCCTCACCACCGATAAGTACAACGGGCACTGCACCTACCCCTCCCACCAGTACGACTAGGGGCTCTGACCCTGTCCAGGAGGACAGCATTCTGGCAAATGGAGAACAGAGGAAAGAAGCAATAAATCTTGAGTCAAGAGCTTCAAATTATTCTAGAAGCCCCAACTCTGCGACTCTTTCCTCTGTCCAGTTTTGTCTGGGTGATTCAGTGTTTCTATCTGCCTCTGTGTAAGATTTTCACTCATTTCCTCGTCTGGCCCTGTGCTAGAGACCAAGGGAGGACTGTGATGACCCAGGGGGGCAACCTTACCTTCACAGATCTCACGGTCCTGCGAGGAAGACACCCCAGCCCACGACAGTGACAACCCAGAGTGGCCACAGCTCTGAAGGAGGAAGCCCAGAGGGCTGAGGGAGCTACCTGACCCAGCTTGAGGAGCCAACAAGTTAATAATACTTTGCTCCAAGGGGAGGAGTGGTCATCCCCAAGAGGCTGTTACATGGAAGCTAACCTGTGCAGAATCATTGTAAAAAGCCTGAGCTTTATTCTGAGGTTCTGTGAAAGGAGTGGAGCAGGAGAGAGGTGGGGTGGGGGGGCACAGCCAGCTTTGTGTTTTATAAAGCTGCCCTTGGCTGCCATGTGAATGTGGATCAGAGGCGTGCGAGAGTAAGGGCTGGAGCCCCAGGGTACCAGGACGGAGGCCTTGAGTGGGGCCCGAGGGTGGGCATGAGCAGAATGGACAGTCCATGATGGAGAGGAGAGAGACACCCAGAAAGAAGCATAGAGCTGGAACCTGGAGACAGGGTTAGAGTGGGGCCATGGTGAGAAGGGGAGCCCTGGAAGAGGGGCAGGTTTGGGAGGGGGAGGGGAAAGAACGATCCCTTCCTCATCCTGTCCTTTTTTGGAATCTACTGTCCCCTGCCCATGTTCCCCAGAGACACCTTTCCCTGGTCTGAGTGAGCCAGTCCTCTCTCCCTATTTCCAGCTTCCCCCACCTACCCACCCAACATCTTTTCCCTTCCCCTCAAAAAAATTGTAATTCCATTCCAATCCTATATTGCTTCTGCAAGCAGCAGGATGACTGGTTGACAAATTCCAACCGGTAATAACTGGTCTGAGGAGCCTAACTCCCGTCGCAGGGGCAGCCTGGAGAAAACAGCCTCCCTCCCTCCTCTTGGTGAAACGTGGGGGTGGGGCATTACTGACTGGTTCAGGCTTTCAGGGCACTAGCGCTGTTTTTTTCCTGCCCTCTTTCTCTTTCTGTCACATTAGGCATTTAATGTGCCTTCTTTGTGTCCAGCCATGTGCTAGGTGGTGCTATGGACCAAGCGCTGGGCGACCCAGATACAACGTTGGTGCCTGCAGGGCCCACAGCCCCCACGGTGGGCGCCCAGGTCCAGGAATGGAAGGCATGGGCAGAGGGGTCAGGGCCAGGACGGGGGGGGGGGGGGGGGGGGGGGGAGCCCGGGACACGGGAGCAGCCCAGAATGGGGGGCCTAACCCACTCTGGAGCATCAAAGGAGGGCTTCTGGGAGGAGGAAACTTTTGAGAGGAGTTCTGGGGAGAGGCGGCGGCCTGGGAATTGAAGGATGTGGGAAGCAAGTTTAAAGATCCGGAGGCCCTTTATTGCCATTTTTGAGGACGTGCTATGGTACCTAAAACACTGGGGATAAGGCAGGGAAGAAAACAGACAAAAATCTCAGGGTTTACGGTGGTGGCGGGCCCGTGAAGTCATTTTGGAAAAATGGAAACTCAATCACTGGGGCCGCCTCGCAGGAGGCGAGGAGCGAGGAGGAGTGTGCATCAGGCCAGACCGTGAAGGGCTTTGTGGAAAAAGGGAGGAGCTGGGACTTTGTCCCCAGGGCAGTGGCGAGCCAGGAACGAGTTCCCAGCCGTGGAGGTGCCATCCCTCCTGAGCGACGAAGGATGGGGCGCCGGGGGTGGGAGGGGAGGCGGCAGGAGAGACGACCGCAGGCCGCGCGGCGAAGTCCTGAGGCTGAAGAAAGAGGCCGCGGGGCAAGCTGTTGGGGGGGCAGGAAGACGGGAACCCGGCTGCGATCGCCCAGGCAACGTAGGCCGCGCCGAACTATTGGCTGGTCTTGAGCTGCGTCATCCTCCGCCCCGCAGCGTCCGCCCTCGGAGCCCCGGGGGCGCGGCCTCCGCCAGCGGGGAGGGGAGGGGCGTGCCAAGCAGCCTCGCCCTCGGACGGGGGTCCTCACCTGCTCTAAAGGGATGGCAGGGAGGAGGCTGACGATTTTGGAGCGAGGACCGTGACTGCGGTGAAGGAAGCGGCTCTGACGTCCTCGCCGCCCTCCGCCCTAGAGACGAGGCCCCGCCCCCCCGGCCAGTCGGAATCCTTTAAAAGGTCCCGGGTGGAAGGAAAAGGGAGGGCGGGGCGGGCGTCTCCTGGCGACCGGCCGGTGGCTCCGCCCAGCCAATCCTCGCCCCGCGGCGGGCAGGACTCCAGCCAATCGCGGCTCGCGGTTCGGGTCCGGGGCGGGGCTGGGTGGGCCGGAGGCCAGACCGAGAGGCCCGGGGGAGGTGAGCGAGGCTGCTACTCAGCCCTGGTGGTGCTGCGGTCGGTCCGGGACTTGGTCATTGCGAACCTGGTGGCTAAGGTGAGAGAGAGAGAGAAAGGCCACCCCGGCTTGAGATTCGCCTTGGGTTAGGGGAGGTGGAGACGCGCCCCCGAGAGTTGTGAGGGCGGGGTCTGGGCGTGGGTCGGGGGGGGTGCAGATGAGGGTGACTGAGAGGGTTGGTGGGGTTTGGGGGCTGGAGACTGAATTCGAGATCCTGGCCTGAAGGCGAAGTTTTTGGGGGCAGTATCTTCAAGTGGAGGGACTTTGAAGCTGGGACCCAGGGTGTTTGGAGAAGCGAGAGAGCCAAGGAAGGAACTTCTGGGGCAGGAAATCTGAAGATTAGGACAATTCGGGTCCCCCGGGCGGGTTGAATTCGGGGCTCGAGTGCTCTGGAAAAAGGGTGAGGGGTTGGGGCTGGGATCCCGGACCTTTGGAAAAGCGAGAGAACTACGTGCAAGGAATCTGGGTGAGGGAGGCGCAGTGGCGGAGAGGAGGTGCTGAGAATCCCGCGTTCAGGTCTTAGAGTCAGAGGGAGAGTTTGGAGGTGAAGTCGAAAGGCGTTTGAAAGACGGGAGAATAGGGGAAAGTGGACGGGTGAAGGTATCAAAATTAGTCCCCCGAACGGAGTAGGTCGGAGAGCACTTGTAGTTTTTGAGCGACGTGTTGGGGCCTTGGGTCTCTGGACCCGAGAGCAGTTTTGGGGAAGAATCTAGGACCTTCTTGGGGTTCGAAGGACCGGGAGAAAGCAGTTTTAGGGCCGGAGACTGGAGTGGGGGAGGGGCGCTCCGGGCGTGGAGCTCAGACCCGCCGCCCTGGAGGCTGCGGAGGGCGGGGCTCGGCAGGCGCCGGGCAGCTGGACGTCCGGGTTCCCTTCCCCCACCTGCCCCGGGCCCTTGTGCGCATGCCCTGAGGGAGGGCGGGGGAGAGTCCGCCCTGTGGCGTGCGGAGCCCTCTGGGGATTGTAGTGCACGCTCCGTGTCACCGCACGTGCCGGGCGGCTCCGGGCCCACATTTCCCAGAAGCCCCTGGGCTAAATGGTTGCGGGCCGGGTTGCTGAATGGAGATCCGCGGAGGGGGGCGGAGCCTGGCGTGAGTCGAGTTTTAGCAAGTTTTCCTATGGGGCGCGCTTTGGGGGAAGCCGAAGGAGCGGTAGAGAGGAGGGAGGCTCCTTCGCAGCTCTTGGGAGTGCTTCCAGTCGGTTAGGAACGGGACAAGGGAAGAAATAGCCTCCCTGTAGCGCCCGAGTGGCACAGTCCGTTAAGTGACTTCGGCTCAGGTCAGGATCTCGGCCCTGGAATGGAGCCCTGGTTCCAGCTCCGCGGTCTATGGGGAGTCTGCTTCTCCCAACCCCTCTCTCCCCATCCCCCATGCTCGCTCTCTCAAATAAATAAAATCTTTTTTTTACAAAGAAGAAATATCCTCCCTGTGAAAAGAGTCTGGACAAATACGTGTCCTACAGGGCTCCAGGTGACTGGAGTATAATAGGCAGTTAATCGATAAAAATATTGAATGAATATGTTGGCTAAGGTTAACTGTAGATGGGCCCCGTGCATATTACACGTAGGAGCTCCTTGAGAATACGGGGAGAATTTTTACAATCCTCATTTTACCGAAGGAAACAGACCCAGAGAGGTGATGTCTGTAACTTACAAAGATCAAGCAGCGGAGCAGTGTCAAGGGCAGAATTCAAACCCAGGTTTCCCTGCCTCCAGTCCAGGTCCGCGTACTCCACCCCTGTCCTGTGTGACACTTTGGAAGAGAGGAGTATTGTAGAAAGAACAGCTTTGTGACTTGAATCAGGATCCTTGTCTTGGAGATGAGGTAATTGAGCCCCAAGGAGGCAAATTCACAGTTCACCACCACACAGGCAACCCAGCTATGTTTCAGTCCAGATCTTGTTCTCTTCATCATTTTCTTCTAGTCCTTTTAATCTCCTCTGCAGCCCTACAGGATTCACATTATGCCCATTTTATAGATTTGGGATTTGAACTAGCCCCGCTGCGTCTAACTTGCCCCCACTTATCTCTACAGGGCATCATGGTAGGAGGCTTGAAGAGGAAACACTCAGATTTAGAGGAGGAAGAGGAGGATGAGAAATGGGACTGGGGTCCAGCAGGCCTGCGGAGCTACCAGCAAGCCCTGCTTCGAATCTCCTTAGACAAAGTCCAGAGAAGCCTGGGCCCCCGAGCACCCAGCCTACGCAGGCATGTCCTCATCCACAATACCCTCCAGCAGCTCCAGGCCGCGCTCTGCCTGGCTCCAGCACCTGCCTTGCCCCCTGAGCCCCTCTTCCTGGGCGAAGAGGACTTCTCCCTGTCAGCCACCATCGGCTCTATTCTCAGGGAACTGGAGACGTCCATGGACGAGACAGAGCCCCCTCAGAATCCAGTGGCTCCCCCAGGCTCCCAGAACGAAGTGCTGCCCCAGCCTGATCCAGTCTTCTTAGAAGCCCTGAGCTCCCGGTACCTGGGGGACTCTGGTCTGGATGACTTCTTTCTGGACATTGACACATCTGCAGTGGAGAAGGAGCCTGCACCGGCCCCACCAGAGCCTCCTCACAACCTCTTCTGTGCCCCAGGGTCCTGGGAGTGGAATGAACTAGATCATATTATGGAAATCATTCTGGGGTCCTGAAACTTTGGGGGGCTCTTTTCCTCATCCTAGCCTCAGTGGGCTGGATTCCTGGATGCAACTCCGTGTGTGTGTGTGTGTGTGTTTTGGTGGGGGCTCTACACCGTGACTCTGGCCTCCTTTCATCCCATTTCAGGGTTCCACAAACCATCTTGCATGTGTGTGTGTCTGGTTACCACAGCCTTCTGTGAAGGTGGGTTTTCCTGAAGTAATTTATCTGTTCCAAATGCCTTAACGCGACTCTGTTTCAGGGAGTCGGATTTCCCACTTCCCACATCTCTTCTGCCCTTCCCTCCAGTTCCTACTCCCCTTGTGACCACTGGGGCCTCAGGGAAGATAAAGCTGGGCCTGACAGATGATGACTGGGATATGCTGCCTGGTTGCTATGGGAACTCAGATTTTGCCTCTTGCACCTCAAGGGAGCAGGAGGGGCTGGCCTCCTCCCCTCAAAGGTCAAGCCCCCACCTCTTTGGCAAGACCCCAGTCCCAGCAGTCTCCTGATTCATAACCAGGCCGGACCACGTGCAATAGGGTGGAAACCAAACCACTCCATGCCGCGTTATTTAAAAGAAAGGCGGGTTTTGTGGTGGGTTTTGTTTTTGTTTTTTGGTTGTTTGTAATTACTTTTTTTTTTTAATAAAAGTGTTTTGGGAGGGGTGGTGTTGCCTAAAAGTTTCTAAACTTTCATTGGGTCAGTGGGAGGGACCTGGTAAGCTCCCTGGACACCTGTACCCTTTACCTGCCGAAGTGAGGGCAGGCATATTATTAAACATAATATTTGCTGAGTCCTTTTAAGAGTACTATTCTATCCACTTTGTTTTAATTAAGTCACTTAATCTTTGTGATAATATTTCTGTTCCCTGGTTTTACATGGGAGGAACCTGAAGCTCAGAAGGGCCAAATCGTTGCTCTGGGTCACACCGCAAGAAAAACAAGGACCAGGGAGTTAGGACTCAAGTTGTCCTCCAGAGACTAGTTCTTCACTATTTGTTTTTTCTTCTTGGCAAACTTAGAGTCCCTAGCCACGTGGATGCACACAGGAGGGAGAAACAGTCCCATGCATTAACCTAAAGGATAGGTCACTTTTATTTATTTATTTATTTATTTATTTATTTATTTATTTATTTATTTATTTCTTTTTAGGCTAGGTCACTTTTAGCACTTAAAAAGTCATTCCTTTCATTGTACGTGATGTATTGCTAGAGCCCCGAGTGGAAAGAAAAGGCTCAGGGCATCCATGGTGGCCCAGCGGTTTAGCACCGCCTTCAGCCCAGGGCGTGATCCTGGAGACCCTGCATGGAGCCTGCTTCTCCCTCTACCTGTATCTCTGCTCTTCTTTGTGTCTCTCTTGAGTAAATAAAATCTTAAAAAAAAAAAAAAAAAGGCTCAGAGATAGCCAGCATTAAGAGAGCTTTCTAAGGGCCCCTGGGTGGCTCAATTAAGCGTCTGCCTTTGGCTCAGGTCAGAATCTCAGAGTCCTGGGATGGAGCCCCATGTTGAGCACTCTGCTGAGCAGGGAGCCTGCCTCTCCCTCTGCCACTCCCCTGGCTTGTGCTTGCTGTCTCTCAAAAAAAAAAAAATTTTAAAACAAACTATTTTTTAAAAAAGTAAATTTTTCTAGAAAAATGTTGACCAGACAGAAGTTACAGTGCTAAGGATTTACTTGGGAGGTACAAGCCCAGGCTGGTGAGTGGAGAAAAGAGGGAGGCCCAGGGAGATGGAATGTGATACATCCCTGCACTGGCTAAGTCTCTGCAGAGACCTTTAAGCCTTAGCAGGTGAGTTTACACAGCATTAGGGACTTTTTCTGGAAGGTCTGCAAAGAGGAACCATGCCAGGGTGGAGTCCACAGGCCAGGAAAGGGGGATTTTTGCCTGTGCTTTCAGGTCCAAAGCCAAGATTCTTGCCCTGAGAGGGGCTTTGCATCAAAGTCTAAAAGCCCTGGGGTAGCTGACAGATGGGTGGCAAGCAGAAGAGACTGTCATGAGAACCTCAAGGTGCATATGTTTCAATATGGATGCCCGTTGGATTATGTCTTATCCCTACTTAAAAGTCTCTGACTTCAAAACCCCAACTTCACCAGGGCCTGTAAGACAACCTTGCTCCTAACTTTGCAATTTAATCTCCCACTCTGCCTCACCTCCAGTCACACTGGTCTCATTTGACCCCAAGTTCATCTGCCCCAGGGCCTTTGCACTTGTTAGTGGCCCAGGGGACATTTCCCCTATAGCTTCACCAAATCAAATGCCCCCTTCTCAGAGTGGCCTTCCCTACCCTGAGTATCTCAACATGTCCAGGTGCACCCCACACACACACCACACTCTGATTTTCTTAGTAGCAGCTATCCTATCTCAAGTTATTTATTACCTATTTATGACTAGCCTCCTGGTCTATTAGCAACTCTGAGAGGGAGGAGTTTTGCTGGTCTTAGCCTAGCTATATGCCTAGTGCCTAGTGCCTATGCTCAGTACAGGTGTGCACAAACAATTATTTTTGCTATCGTTGAAAAAATGAACTCCTGACTTTACAACCGTCAACTCTCCCTCTTACCTCTCTGAATTCATCCTCACATCAACCCCCACCCCGCCACTCCTATGCTCCAGCTTATACCATTCTCTACAGTTCTTCAGACACACCAGCATGTCCCAACCTCAAGCCTGCAGTAATACCTGCCTCACTGAGCAATTGTGTAAGCCACGAAAAGGAGGACCTGATGTACCCCAAGGATTCCAACTGTCACTCGAATGTATTGTTTCTACTATGGGCCTAGTCCTCTTCCAGGCGTGGGAATAAAACACACAGCTCTTGCTCTCATACAGCATTGTAGTGGGGGAAGGCTGAAATAGACACAAAAATAAGTAAAATATGCAATCTGATAAATGCTATACCGAAAAAGAAAGCAGAAAAGTGATGGATGGGGGTGTTGCTACTTAAATGAGATGGCCAAAGAAGGCCTCACTGACAAGGTGACATTTGAGTAAAGACCTGAAGGAGGTGAGAGATGAGTCAACGTCAGTCTGTAGAGGAATAATCCTGGCAGAGGTAACAGTGAGTGCAAAGGCCCTGAGGTCGGAGCACAAGTGGAGTGTTTGCCGGAGCCTGAAGAGGTCAGTGTGGCTGGAGCAGAGTGTACAGGAAGGGGGCATCCTAGGAGACGAGGTGAATGAGATGTAGGGTCTTATGGGTGTCCCACAGGAAGGACTGAGCCTTACCGAATGAGATGAATCCATGGAAGGCTGCTGAGCGGAGGAGGGATGAGACCTCACTCACCTTTTAATAGGCCCTCTTTGCCCCACAGATAACCGAATGAAAAGGCATCGTGTAGCTTGCTAGTAGCACAGTGGGGGGCAGCTTATGGAGCACCCCCACTTTCCAGATAAACTGAGGCTCGGAGAGGCCCAGCTCTTGCCGGGTTGAAGAACTGAGAGAAGTGGAGAGGCCTGGCCCGCACAGTGACCGGGTCTGAGGGCAGAGTCCACCCTCCCCAAACCGCCCGCCTCCCGCCCGCGGCGAGGGAGGGGGCGGGGGCGGCTGGAGGGATGGGGCGCGGCCGCCTCGGGGGCGTGGCCGCGGCGGGCCCCGCCCACTGCCCCTCCCCCGGAGCTGGCGGCGCGGCCGAATCCCCCGCGGGCGGCGGCGGCGGCGGGAGCCGGCCCGGCGCCTGCCGGCTCCCCAGAGGCCGGGTGCGGCGGCCGGCCGGGGGCGGGCGCGCCCCTCCCCCTTCCCCGCGGGCGGAGGCTCCTCCCCGGGCCTGCGGGGCACGCCGGCTCGCTTCTGGTTTCATTTCCCAAGGCCTGACCTCTCTCCCTTTCCCTTCCCCCAGCCCTTTGAATTCCTGGCTCCTTCTGCGCTTTCTGGTCTCAGCTCCGGGGTCACCTCCTCAGGGACGCTCCCCTGGACCACCCTGGCACAGGCCTCCCTAGTCTCCGTCCCTGTTTTGTTTTCTTCAAGGCACTGAACGGAGACCGAAATTCTCTTCTTCCTCATTCATCTCGCAGGGTCTCGTCCCGCTAGGAATAAAAACCTAACGTTCCGCCGAGGGCTCTAAAGCTTCTCCGACCCCGCCAGGCAGCCTGCAGTCCGGGGACACTGGCCCCGCTCCCGGCCCGCTCGGGCTTCGCGGCCTTTGCTTTGGACCTGCCCCCTGGCTGGAAGATTCTTCTTCCAGAGCTTTACTACTTCTCTCATTTCACCGGGTCTACTCAATGTCACCTCCTCGGGGAACTTGCTACCAGCACCAGCACCCTATCTACAGACCCCGCACACCACACACACTTTCCTCCCCTGCTCTGCTTTATTCCTTTCCTTTTCACTGGTCACCTTCTAAGATACTAAATTATTTCTTTATTATAAAGTGTATGGTCCACCTCCTCACATCAGGGATTTCTGTCTATAATATTGCTGCCCTATCATCAATACCTGCCAGAGTGCCTGGCACACAGAAGGTGTTCCATCCATGAGTGTTTTTGTTTTCACACTTCTTTCCTCTGCTTACCCCTCTCCTGATCCATGAACGGAGAGATCGTGCGAGGCTTATCCAGTTCTGTACCCCTAGTGTCTACCACGGTGCCTAGAATACAGTAGATGCTCAATAAATACATGTTAATCAAGCTCTTGAGACTCCTGTGAGCTCTCCAGCATGTGATCCGGAGCAAGCCACTTGGAGACTCAGAGCCACCTTTTTTTCCCAGCTCATGAAGATAGGTTAGGGAGAAAATTCTGTGAATTTGCCTGGCAGGGGCCTGGTTCTAATTAGCATTTTACTCTGTTTTTATTATGAAAAATTTTAAGCATATATTAAACATGGGGGGGCATGTAGCTATCCCCCCCCCACTTCCCAAATCAGGATTTAGTAAGAGTTCCTATGCTTATTTGGTTGTAATAAAGAAATAATATAGTAACTTTCATTCTGGAAAATTCTCCACCACCAACCCCACCAGTCCCTTTCTCTGTTTTCTCAAAATTGAATTTTTGGTGGAACAGCCTAGTTGTGCTTGCAGATGTCCCACATTCTGTATTTGTGTTCTTGTAAAATTTGTTCCTCTCGGGATCCCTGGGTGGCGCAGCGGTTTGGCGCCTGCCTTTGGCCCAGGGCGCGATCCTGGAGACCCGGGATCGAATCCCACATCGGGCTCCCGGTGCATGGAGCCTGCTTCTCCCTCTGCCTGTGTCTCTGCCTCTCTCTCTCTCATTCTATGTGACTATCATAAATAAATAAAAATTAAAAAAATTTTAAAAAAAAATTTGTTCCTCTCTGTTTCCTGTAAGCTGAAGATTAGGTCTAGAGGCTCCATGAGATTCAGTTTGTGAAAGTTAACAGGGAGACTCCATAGGGAACGTCATGTACTTCCTAATGCATCATGTCAGGTGGCACCCAGTGTCAGGGTGCCCCATTATTGTGGATGTAGAGTTTTATTACATGGTTAAGGTGGTGAGCATCACATCTCCACATCATAAAAGAATATTTCCCCCCTTTGCAGTTTGTAAGTAACCCTAGTAGAGGTATGTGTGGGAGCCTGCCAAGATCCGATTAACCTTTCACCCTAAGGTTTGAACATCCACTGATAATTGCTACCTGAATCAACTAGTTTAGTTAGCATTTTCTAGAGCTTACTTTGGCCAGGAACTCTATTCACAACAGTTCTTCCCACAATTCCAGAAGAGTTAGCAAATGAGCTACTTGGAGAAGCTAAGTCCCCTTGTCAGTTTACCAGACAAGCGTTAACTTCCTGTCTACCCATACCGACCCCAGGTGTCCTGCCTTGAACTAAGCACCTGTGCTATA